TAACTTAGATTACAGACTGTCACAGCTTCTTAATACCCGGCTCCACATTATTTTAAAATGGTTGGCTTTAGCAGAATGTTGATTGGAGGGAAAGGCTGCCATCGCAATCTGTCCAAAACCTTTTGACTAAAGAGGTGAATGCATTTCGGATTATATTGCGTTTGAGTTAATCATGTTTCGTGCTACAACTAGTGATAGATTTTAATTACCAGTTATATTTACCATCTTTGTGTTACACAAAAATCATTCTAGGCTATTGATGTTGTAACTACAAGCACAGTAGATTTGGGGCCAGTAAGTACTGATTCTTTCAGAAATGGCAATTTGTCTGCATCATGGAAAGTTGTTGGGGTGAATGCTTCAATTGCAGAGAAAGCTACTTCTGAGGTTAGGGTCATAGTTATTCTCCACCTCTGTATTCACATCTATTATGTACTTCTGTATTTTCTACTGCCTTCAGCTGGACCTTTCCTTGCCCCAAATTTTATTGCTGATTGATTGGTCTTTATTTGCTTGTCACATGTTCAAAGTCAAATCAAAAGGCTACAGACTTGAAACAAGTAATATCTCAAGTTAAAGAGGGAAAGATTCTTTATGGTAATGTATTTCCGATCTGTTAAATATATGCCTAATGCTCTTGGTACGTTTTCTTCCATGCTAACCTGCCTGTTCTATGCAGATGATCAGTCGCACAATAAGCATACTAATACACTTCGAAGGGTAATTATCATCTTTTGATGCACGGAGTAGATTAGTATTATAATGAATTATATAATAAGAGGCATTTTACTTACCCTGCAGCAACTTGGAGATGATAAACGTAAGAAGCATATGGTTGGTTTGGTGCATCAAGATGATGACGTTACTGTTAAACTTGAAAATGCAGCCATTGAACGATCCAAAGCTGTGGATTCTGCAGTTCTCGGCAAATACAACATCTGGAGGAGAGAAGTTGATAATGAGAACTCGGATTCCACAGTGCGCTTGATGAGTGATCAAATTATAATGGCGAAGGTGTTTATTAGTATTGCAAGCTTGAAAAACAAGCTTGACTTGCGGAAAGAAATGCAGGTTAGGCTCAAAGAGAGTCAGCAAGCCTTAGGAGAGTCAACAACTGATGCCGACCTACCTCACAGGTAAAAGGATGTTGAATCTTTAATCTCATTGGCTATGAGCTGTAGTCCATGACTCCATGTTTCCCCTGGTTTTTGCTTTCGCTGATCCTGTCAGTTTGTGTTCTTATGTGAATTTATTCAGTGCATCTGAGAAAATTCAAGCTATGGGAAAAGTTCTAGCCAAAGCAAGAGATGAATTGTATGATTGCAAGTTGGTTTCCAGAAAGCTCAGAGCAATGCTCCAGACATCAGAAGAACAGGTTAGGAGATTGAAAAAAACAGAGCATGTTCCTGAGTCAGATAGGTGCCAAAACAATTCCCAATGCAATTCATTGCTTGTCAATGCGCTTGACCATAGGGTACTATCTACTTCCTCCTGAGAAGAGAAAGTTCACTAGAAGTGAGAAATTGGAAAATCCTAATCTCTACCATTATGCCCTCTTCTCTGATAATGTCTTGGCTGCATCAGTTGTTGTCAATTCAACTATCATGAACGCCAAGGTGATAAAAGCTGGTGGCTTAATTCATCCTATTGCCCTGTCCTACGGCAGCTTGAGACTGCTGCGATGAAGGAGTATTATTTCAAGGCAGATCATCCAACCTCATCTGGATCTTCAAACTTGAAGTATCGGAACCCGAAGTACCTGTCAATGCTTAATCACTTGCGGTTCTATCTGCCACAGGTTTACCCAAAGTTAGATAAGATCCTCTTTCTTGATGATGACATTGTTGTCCAGAAAGACTTGACTGGATTATGGTCTGTTGATCTTCATGGAAAAGTCAACGGTGCGGTTGAAACTTGCGGTGAAAGCTTCCATCGTTTTGACAAGTATCTGAACTTCTCGGACCCTCATATTTCACTAAATTTTAATCCTAATGCTTGTGGGTGGGCATATGGAATGAATATGTTTGATCTCAAGGTGTGGAAAAAGGAAGATATCACTGGCATACCACACAATGCAAACATGGTGAGTCAAACGAAAGACCGAATATTCGATTTCTTGGTCTTTATTTTCCCGGTCACATACACACACCTTCATGCATGCATCAAGATAACTCGGTCGTTGAGGCAAAGCATGAGGCAAGTCCTAACTTTTGATTCTTTTTATTTTATTTTAATGTTCATCAGAATGAAGATAGAACACTGTGGAAGCTAGGGACACTTCCTCCAGGGCTGATCACATTTTATGGTCTAACACATCCACTTCAGAAGTCATGGCATGTACTCGGTCTGGGCTACAGCCCGAATGTAGATAAGAAAGAAATTGAACGTGCCGCAGTTATCCATTACAACGGCAACATGAAACCGTGGCTCGAGTTGGCGATGATGAAATATCAATCGTATTGGACCAAGTACGTCAAGTATGACCATCCCTTCCTTCGCAACTGCAATTTTATTGAATGAACCAGATTATAGTTAGTGTGACATTTTGAGTGTGTGCGTCTTTGATTCTAGATCATTCCCACATTATTGTTTATTCTTTTTTGTCAATCATTAAATTCGTTCCATTAGGCGCCTCATTCATTTGAATGGGGTAACAAGTTGTAACTGAACCACACCCATATGATCCTTTTTCCCCTCTCCATTCTAGTGGAGTAGAGAACCTTACCCCTTGTATTTTCTCAACACGAGAACTCCCATTTGCTGGATTTAATATATATAGGTTTCTTTTCGGACTTTATTCTCTTTTAGTCTCTTAATAAAAGACACATTACATCTTTAAGAAAATATGTTTTAATAGTATAAGATAATATATGTTTAGAATTTTTCTTAGCCTATTAATAACGCGTATACAGAGTAAATGTAATTATTCGTTTCATCTAAAGAAAACTGCATTTCCTTTTATCACTAAGATCATTCAGTGGACTCAAAATAATATTGTTTGAACATACAATTAAGAATCTTAAAATTATTGGAGGAAGTAGATTTATGGGGGTCAAGTAACTTGGATCATCAATATAAACCCATTTTTTTCCTAATCCTAAATCAAATAATATTGTTTGAACATACAATTAAGAATCTTAAAATTATTGGAGGAAGTAGATTTATGGGGGTCAAGTAACTTGGATCATCAATATAAACTCCATTTATTTCCTAATCCTAAATCATATTTAGAGACGAATAGATACGATATGATACTTTTATCTCCTAAAAAAATAACCTTTTAGCAATATTCCTCTCTTATTAATTATTTATTAGTATACATTTTAACACTACATTTTTAAAAAAAATTTGAGGGTAATATTTGTTTAAGGACTTTCAATCCTTTGTCAATGAACACACATGTTCTTATATATCCTTAAGGAATATTATTAAGTCTTTTAACCATTAATATCACTTGATGTGTGTATATTTTATCACTAAATGAATAACGATATTTACTTCTATTTCTGGCGGAACATGTGCTCTTACTAAACTAAAAATAAAATTGCTAAAAAGGCAACTTTAACTTACTAATTGCTAGCCATATGCAACCATTCATTTGGGACGTGAATGGAATGAGGAATAGAGGGACAATTGTTTTACTGAAAATTTTAATTTTTTTATATAATATAATTATTTTTTATATTGTTATTAATAATCTATTTTCATTTCTTTAAATTTATATAAGTCTTCAAAATAATATAAATTCGTCTCTTAATATAAAATTTTATGTTCATCTCTAATTTATAAAAAAAATATAAATTTGTAAACCATTCAAATCTTTTCCCACTTGATTTCTAATTTGTTTTCTTTTTATATATTGAATTGAATTGATTTCGACTTAACTATCTTTTCATTTTTTAATTATGTAGATCCGAAAGATTTTTATTAAACGCCAATGCATGTTTTGTAATCTGATAAACAATTCATGGGAAAAATTATTCAAACGATTATTAAACTATATTGAAATAATCTTTTTGGCATTTGAAGTTAAAAGGGTTACAAAATGGTAATAAATTTATCGAATTATTATCAAATGATTGTTAAAACTCATCTAGATATTACAAAATGATTATTAAATATATCAATTTTTTATAACGTGCAATGGACATTTTATATTAGTTCAATAAATTTAATAACCATTTTGTAACTTTTGAAACTTCAATGACAAAAAAATAATTTCAACATACTTAATTCTAATTTGTTATATAACTATAACATTCCTCATTCACTCCAAAAAAGTGGCCAAACTAATGTGGACGAGTTAGTGGAGTCAGTGGTTAAAAGGAGTGTTGTTTTTCATTGAGGTTTGGAATTCGAGTGTCTGAAGGGTGTGTGTTGTTAATGGTTAATAAAGATTATGAACATATATTACCTTGTAATCATCCATACAATTAAAAAAATGTGGACAAATTAGTTTCTAACATATGATAGAGATAATAGTTGGTGCTTAATTGGTTAACTTAAAACTAACTTTTACAATGTTTGCTACCTAATCATGGAGATAATTTGTTGATATTGCAGAAGATACAATGCTCCCCAATTCATTTCACAAAGGGGACATTTTATTGATTACAAATTGAAAGATAAAACAAGAGATTTATAATTTATATATAAGTTAATTAATTCATTTATTTGATTCTCCGAAGCACTAATTAAGCTTCTCCTATATATACTAGTACTAATTAAGCTTCTCCTATATATACTAGTACTAATTAAGCTTCTCCTATGTAGTAATATTCTTTTTCCTGTTTTGGTGATTCTGCAGTAGAATACCTTAGACCCACCATGAACAAGAAAATAAATGCTTCCCTTTTCCCTAAAATCATTTCTTAAGGTACTATTACTTCCTTGCTTGATTCTTGTTGTTGAACCCATTTGGAGAATGCATCGAGAGTTTTCATGTCAGCACGGTAATGTCTCTGCGTAAATTCCAGCAAACTTGCCCATGTAAAGTCTGGGTATCTCCTTGGATTTGCTGCATTCACTAAGCAGGCCGCTGGTGTTACCGCTTTATCCATCTTGGGACTGACAAAGAATGCAAGGGATCTTCTAACACTTCGATCATTCACTACTGCTCTGTGTAAGCAGCTCTTGTAAATGCCGTTCTATAGAGCCTGTGCATTTAAACATAAAAAAAATCTCATCTTTGCTAAAATCAAGCCGAATATATATACATATATATATATATAGTTGGGGTCTTTGTTCTCTACCATGAAAGTGTCGCCAATGTTGACAACGAAAGCTCCTGGGATGGGAGCAATGTAGTGCCACTTTTCGTCTGAAAACACTTGAAGGCCACCAACTTGATCCTGATGAAGGATTGTCAAGGAAGTGGGATCGGAGTGAGGACCGGTTCCGAGCGTCGAATTCGGCTTTTGGCATGGCGGATAGTGGTTCAGTCTCAAGATTGAATCGTTTTCTTGGAAGAAGTCTTTGAAGTAGGCTTGGTCGAGTCCTAGACTTATCCCTAGCAGCTCCATTAACTGTAGAGATAATTTGTTCATGGCTTCACAATATTCCTGATAAATCCTCCTGCCAAACATGGAAAAGGCAAAATAGAGATGAACAAATGTAGCAATTTCCCACAAAGAAATGCAAAGACACAAAAGAGCATACTCATGTGTGGTGGCCGATTCACATATTATTAAGGGTAAATAGGTGTCTAACGAAATTTAATTTTTTTTCCTGTTAGTTATATATTTTACTGATTATACACATACTAAGATTTTATTTGTGCTCATCCATATATAAATTATTACTAATATTGCTAAAGATTTGTGTTGTTAATATATAAGTATCCCATCTCAAAATTATTACTCATGTGTGGTGCCGATTCACATATTATTAAGGGTAAATAGGTGTCTAACGAAATTTAATTTTTTTTCCTGTTAGTTATATATTTTACTGATTATACACATACTAAGATTTTATTTGTGCTCATCCATATATAAATTATTACTAAATATTGACTAAAGATTTTGTGTTGTTAATATATAAGTATCCATCTCAAAATTATTTCTAGATCCATCATCGCATGTGTATTTTAATTTTAGACAATTTTTTGTCGATTGACTAATGGATTTAGAGTTTGATTGAGTTTTCCATTAGTATTACGGGTAGGGGTGAGCAGAACTTAATTTGACTCGAAAAATTTAAAAAAATTACTCGAAGCTAAAAAACTCGATTCTACTCGACTCAATAAAATTTTAAATAAAGTTTGAGTTATAAAATATGACTCAAATAGCTCAAATTTTTTAGTTATTAGTGAATTGATTTTTAAGTTCAAGTCAAGTCTTTCAACATTGTATGATATATGTGTATCACATATGAAAAAATATAAAAAAATATAAATGCATATCGTATGTGATTATATGAAACTATTTAAATTAAAATTAGTTAGTAACATAACATTATAAATATTTATAATTAAATTTTAACAGAAACTTGAACAAGTCAATTAGACTCAAATCAAACAAAATTTTAATAAAATTTGAGTTAGAAAATAAAACTCAATAGGTGGATACTCACCCTAATGATGAGTACAATGCTTCAAATAAACGAGACTAACAAATGTAGGGAAACTACAAGTGCTTTTGCCCTTGGTATATTGAGTGCAAACATTTCTCATATTAGGTATGGAACGGTGAGAGATTTTACTTACCCGAAATCTTGAAAATCTTTGCCCATCCGATTCACCATATATTGTTGGACGATGTTTGGAATGTCGGGGCGAAATCGAAAAGACAGTGTTTCTTTCCATGGCAACTTGGAGGAGAACCTACCAACGAAACTACCAGCATACCCATAGCTTTCTCCTACTTTTCTCACCGCCTTTTGCTTCTTGGAGAGTTGCATGCCAAAGAACACGTCCATATGCCGGTGAGCTCTGACTATAAGCCCAGAATCCACCCCATGGTTTACGACCATGAAAAACCCATGCTTCTTGCATGCCTCATTCACTGCCTTCGCCGCTTTCGATGCGGCAAGAGGTTCACACCCGCACAAGAGAGCTCCCACGTCGATCGTGGGAATCACAAGCTCCGGTGCCTCGAGGCATGGTTTCTCGTCGTCAGGCCATATGAACTGACAGGGTATATTGTATTCGGATCCCAGGATCGATCCATCGAAAGCTAAAGGGACGTTCTCATTCTTTGGCAAATAGTGAACCATTTTCAGCTTTCACAACTTGAGTGCTTTTTGTTTAGGTTTGTAAAATAGAAACAAGCAGATTGTGGGAGCTGAAGAGGAGCAAAAGGAGGTTTAAATAAGAGAAGCAGAGGATGAAATGAATGTTGGGATTTAGGGGGTCAATAATATTCGGGGTTAATTGTATAGGTAGGATCTTTTCGACCATATGAAAATTTTAAATTATCATATATTTTAGATTTTTTTATATTTTTTTTATTAATAATGTGTTTTCACTTTTAGAATTTTATAAGTTCTCAATTCTTAAAATTTTAGAAATCCGTTTCTTTAATATAAAATTTTGTGTCTATCATGTGAATAAATACATTTATTGAGCTTTTAATAAATTTCTTATGTTAAATTAATGTATATAATCAATTACTATTTGCATATATTTCTTCTCGTTCTGGTGATCGATTATCTTAATTTCATGAAGTTGTTCTAGAAATTTATGTACTCTTCTAAGTGAAAGAGAATTTTTTTAGAAAATAATTTAAATGAGAACATTTGTTTAAAATAAAATATATAAAAAAAACAACATTTTAGAGAATGAGACGTTGACAGAATTAGTAAGGTTGAGAACCTTAGATCCTTAGGGGGTGTTTGGTTCAAGGATTGTGGGATTCTCATGGGATAAGAATCTCACATTCCCATGTTGGTTGGCCGGGAATCTTATTCCCGGTAATGTTTTATTACTAATAGTAGATTTTTTTGGGTATATTACCGGGAATGTCATTACCTCTCTTCCCTTACGTATTGTAACATTATCGGCGTTTTGGACTAAAATGCCCTTAAATTTTTATTTTTTTTCAAAAATATCATTCTTCTGTCATTGAATAATAAAAATTCTACGAATGTTAAATTACAAATTTTTCCTTAAATTATTTTAGATTTACAAAAAAAAAATCTATAATTAAAATTTTATATGAAGTTCAGGGGTTAAAAAAATTGTACCATTTCATTAATCCTTTTTTATATTTTTAATTTTGTAAAAAAATTATATAAATATTATGAATTTAATTTTTTAAAGAAATTATATAAATATTTTACAATTTGTAATATTATACAAATATATAATATGCACAATTTGGTCAAATATACATTCCAATAATATTTTATTCTTTTAACCAAACACGGTAATCTTACATTCCTGTTAAACCAACCAAACACAAAATACAACATTCTCAGTAATCCTATTCTCTGGTAATCTTTTATTCCCACTGATAATCTTACATTCCGTGAACAAACGCACCCTTAATGTCTAGGTTCAAGCCCCTTCCCATGTAGGTTCTATCTTTATTTTGAGTTGATTTAAACAATTAATATATATTAATTATATTATGCTATTTACATAAAAATACTTTGTAGTAATTATATAAAATGAAAATATATCATTTACTAAATTAAAATTATATATATATATATATATAATAATATGGAAACACGTGATTTTACACCAAAATATTATTATCCACTACCTGCTTAGGTAGGGCTGTAAACGAGTCGAGTCGAGCTCGACTCGAATTAGAAAAGTTTAAAATTAGACTCGACTCGACTCAAAAACTTGCGATTTAAAAATTATTAAGCTCAACTCGAATTCGAAATATAATATTGAAACTCGACTCAAACTCGAAAAGACTCGAACTCAAAAAAAAAATCAAGAGCTCGATTGAAGCTCGAGACTCGAGATTGAACTCAAACTCGAATTTGAACATACAAAAATTTAATATTACATTTAAAAATATATTTTTAAAAATTTATAATTATCAATAATGTATTTTTAATAATGTAATTTTAAAAAATCTAAAATTATAATATAATATTTTTTTCCGAGTAGTTCGTGAGCTTTTCGAATCGAGTATTAAGTAGCTTGTTTTAGCTCGTTAAAAATTCGAGTCGAGTTTGAGCTCGATTCGAGTTCATTCAATTCGAGTGTTCATCAAATTTTAACCGAATCGAGTAACTCGCGATCTATTTTATCTTATTTAGGTACACTAAAAATAATATAGCCCGTGAAAGAGAAAAATAAGAAGAAGATGGAGTAACAGCAAATTATATATTTATTTAATCAAATCATCCAATGATTGCTCCATAGTTATGTACCTATTTCCATAATTGACTTTTACATAATTGAAGTTAACTTTCAACTTTAAAGCCAACGTTTGTGGAAAAGTTGCGGTCACTACACCAAAAGTGATATGTAGCGATTTTTTTAGCAGCTTTCGAAGAATAAACTTCATAATATTTTAAAATATAGCGGTGTTTTTAAACGCCGCCAAATGATAATATAGCGGTATTTTTACAAAAAAAAAAAAATCACAATAGAGTGGTAATTTAGCGGCGTTAATGATACAAACGCCGGTATAGAGTTATTTTTAGTGGCGTTTTATCAAAAAATGCCGTAAAAGATTAGTCATTTAGCGGCATTTTTATACAAACGCCGCTATTGAGTATTAATAGAGCGGTGTGTTTTGATAAACGTCGTAATATGGTTGTTTTTAGTGGCGTTTTATGTACAAGCGCTGCAATATAGTGGACATATAGTGGCATTTTAACAACAAACGCCGCAATAGAGAAGAAAGTTTACGGCGTTTTAGGGAAAACGCCACAATATAACGGTAATGTAGCGGCGTTTATACCTCAAACGCCGTAATAATTAATACTTTCGCGTCATTTTTAGACAAACGCCACAATAGTATTAATCAATAGTGGCGTTTTTCTTATAAACACCACAAAATGTTAAATATATGGTCCTCATTTTTCTCCTACCTGAACCCTAAAATCATTTCAACTCTTCTTCCCTCAAACATTCTTCTCTGGTACAACAATAGGTTGAGTACGATTCCAAGCGATGTTGTCTTTTAAATGTCTCGGTGACCAAATCGGCCCTCTGATCGACGAACTATAACACAATTGCAAGGTTTGATCCCTCTTATCATTAATGATGTTTTTCATTTTTTTGTGGGTATTCTGAAAATGTGGAAACCCCTGAAAGCGAACGTATTGGAGAAAAAAGGAGCAGGTGTTGCCTTGAGTAAGAGAAATTATCGTAGGAATATCTACGTGGCGTCTTTGCTCTGACGATAGATCAAATTATCGTTGGGAGGCTATCAGTCCGGTCTCGCCGTCGAAACTCGATGATGACCCGAAAGGAAATTCTATTGCTCCATACCCTTCCATGGATGATCTCCTACTTGAAGGTAATAATCTATAAATCTTTAAGCCGCTATATACTATTTTTCTATGGTCACTAAAATTTCATAAATCGTACGCATGTATGATCTTCGAAGCTTATTGAGAACGATGATAGAGGAGTGGATAAATACTCGATGTTTAGAACCGAATTTGGTAACTTTGTGGCATTGAAAGAATCTTCAATTGCAAAAGCAGTATCTATCCTCAATGAAGACGATGTTCCGCCTACTGTCACTCAAAGTAAACATTTATATCATCTACTTCAATTTTTTTTAATGTTTGATTCATTTCCCAAGCCACCTCCAATCAAGTTTCATAGTGTAGGTGGAAGTTCATTATCTGTTTCAAGTGAAGCACTGAAGCGCGCAAAGAGTCTTCTTGGTGAACCGGAGGTAGGGGATTTATTTGGTGAAATGGATGAACAATTTCTCTATATAGAGTTTACAGGGAGGAAAAACTTAACGATGCGTCGTCAAACAAGGAAAACAACTTTCCTACGTCATTTCCCCATGAAGGAGCAGAACTAAATATATTCTAGTGAACAATATGATGAAGACTGTTTATGCATAACTTTAATGTTTCTAAATTTTAATGTATTTTGTTGTTAAGTATATTTATGCATAACTTATGGCTTAATTGAAATGTATGGATGTTGGTAACTAGGTTAAACTACAAGATAGTAAATTTATGTTATGTAGAGCATAAATTAAATATTTAAAAAATGTTAATCTTATATAAATCAATATATTTAGCAGCGTTTGTATCAAGAAACGCCGCTATAGGTTCATCTATAGTTCGTATATAGCGACGTTTTTTAATAAACGGTGCAATAGAATAATACTTTCGCGACATTTTTTGTAAAAAAAATACTGCAATAGGGTTTATATATAGCGGCGTTTTGGTAACAAACGCCACAAATAATTCGTAGTTTAGTGTCGTTTTGTCAAAAAACGCTGTGAATGTTTTTTTATTTAAACGCCATTAACTTTAGACATATAACGGCGTGTTTTAATAAACGCCGCAACAGATTAGTACTACAGCAGCGTTTTGACGAAAATGGCGCAAGAGGGTTAACATATAGCATTGTTTTGGTAACAAACGACACAAATAATTTGTACTTTAGTGGTGTTTTGTCAAAAAATACCGCAAATGTTTTGTATTTGAACGCCATTAACTTTAGACATATAGCGACATTTTTTAATAAACGTCGCAACAGATTAGTACTATAGCGGCGCAAGAGGGTTAACATATAGCGGCGTTTTGGTAACAAACGCAGTAAATTATTAAAATCATTAGTGGCGTTTTGACAAAAAACGACGCAGATGTTTTTTGTTTAAACGTCATTAACTGTAGACATATAGGGACGTTTTTTAATAAACGCCGTAACAAATTAGTACTTTAGCGGCGTTTTGACAAAAATGCCGCAATATGGTTCATATATAGCGGCGTTTTAGTAACAAACGCATTAGTGTCGTTTTAGCAAAAAACACCACAGATTTTTTAAAATTAGTTGCGTTTATAATTAGAAATGCTGCAATTGGTTACCCTTCAGTGGCATTTATATTGTTAAATGCCGCAAAGTCCATTTTAAATCATCATTCGCCCTAGCCATTTTTCCATCACGATTTTCCTTTCCCTCCTGCCGATTACAGTATCCATAGATTAATTCACTACTCTCCTTCACTGCGCCCAACATCCTTCTCCTTCAACGTCGTCACTTCCAACAATCTTCGGTCGACAACTAAAATCCCAAATCCAAACTCGTCATTTTCATTAAAAAAATTAGTGGTTATCTAAGCTTAACGTTAACATGATGGCTGAAATATGATATTCGTTTGAGATTCTAGGATTATATTTTATCATATCACAATCAATAGGTTAACATTCAATTGTGAATACAGTCAATTTTTTTTACAGAAAAGAACGAGATTAAAATACAATGAATAGTCGGGTGACCATTTTGTAACTTTTAATAGTCGAGGGACTTAATAAAGTAACACTCTATAATCAGAAGATCATTTTATAACTTTTAATATTCATAAAACTTAATAAAACATTATCCTATAGTTGGTGATCATTTGGGTACTTAACCCTAATTTTTAATCCCATAAAAAAAACAACGGTAATTGAAACGGTGCCGTTTGGAGACCACCGCTCCAATCTGTCAACAGCTAATCAAGAAATAAATAAAGAAAATATAATATATAAAAAATTGAAATTGTTGAAATTCTAACCTCACCCCAAATTAGACCAAAATCAAAACGGTATCTCTCTTCTTCTTCTCTCTTCAACGACCAAACCCTAAGACACCTCTTTTGTTTCTCTTTAATTCTCTTGGCGATGATTTAGCTTGAGGTTTCTCTTCAGACCCGATCCACCTCTGGTGAGTTCCCTTTTTCTTCTCTTTATTTATCTCTGGCTCGATTTTGATTTTTATGTTATCTTTTTTCGGTTTCATTTTTTCCGGCGGCTTTGGCGAATTGATTGATGTAATTTTCGTAACCATCTTGTGTTGTGACCAGCTTTGATTATTTTCCCCTTTTTGGTTATATGGAATTTAATAATTAATGTAATTTGTGTGGGTTTTTTTCTTCTTCGAGATAGAATGAAAGGAAGACCAAAAAAAATGTAAATGTGACAAAATCGAAATGAATTATTTTTTCCTTTGCTTTCCCATTAATTACCTCGGAAATTGATTTGGGATAATTAGAGAGGATATGATTTTCCTTTGTTTTCTCGATCCTAGGGGAACTTAATTATTAGAAATACTATGCTTTTGAGGCTTTTTTAATTGTTCGACTTTAAGTGTTTGGATATTATTTGTCCTTTACTGATTTGTAAAATGTTTGGGGCTAGCTATTTTGAAGGACAGAAACAATGTCTGGGTTTGCTATTGTTTTCAGTATATTAGGCTTGGGGCTAATATTGGTTTTAGGATGTTATTATCATTTGGAAAAAGCTCCAGCATTATCTTAGATTTTGTAAATTTTGAATAATCTTATTTAACTGATCATGAGAGGATAAACAACACATGGTTTGGAAGGGTTTTTTTTAATGTTTTGCATTGAATGAAACTTCCACTTGAGGTTGAAGCACTTTGAGGTTTATTCAAGGAAGACATTCTGGTTTAGAGTTCTTAATTGTTCAACTGAAGAAATATTCAGAACTCCATCTCCTAGAGTGATTAAAATTTGACTTATGCATCCCTTTTTAAGTTTTTGTTCCTTATTGAGCGTCAGTGGTCTGGTGATTATTATTTATACAATTTTCTGATTCTGCATCTTAGCACTGGCACTGCTGACTTAGTTTTAATGAGTATGCGCTTTTTAAATTTTTTTATTCATGCCTAGTTTTTTTAAAGTGCATTAGTGATTAAAATTTTAATTTCTTTCATCGATAGTAGCTTGTCTTTTCTTCGTCTATAAAACTATATATAAACACATGAAATTTTCCCCGAAGATGTGATGTTTTCCTTTTCAATTTCCTGAGAGGTCAGAGTGATGTTAATTTGTACATTTCATGTTTGAGGTGACACTCATTGAATCTATATTACTATGTTTCATATTTAGTTTTCTTTTTAGGTTTTCATATGTTTGCTGTTGCGGAATACATTGCCATTTCTCCTGTATTTTAAGGTATGCTAAATATTTTATTTAACTTGATTAAGGAACTTTTCCTCTTTTCGTATATGCAGTTAAAACATGAATGATGTTTTCTGCATGATTATATGTTGATTTCTACTCATCATAGGTTAAGAACTATTATTCATGTAGCTGAGTGAATGCTTGAAAACTTATACTTTAGTACATAGAATTTGGTCTACTTGGGTGTGGTTTAAGGAGAAAACAACAACAAATCAGGAGAACTATGGCTGAACTATAGGTATGAATAAAGTTGAAACTCTATAAAATATAAAACTCTCTAGTTTTTAATTTCGATTAACTAAAAGAATATATCAGTAAATTTGGCGTTAAATTTATTTTACAGCTTATTATATTAGGGTTACAAATAAAGTTTAATCTAAGTCCTAGATTTAACCGTAAGGATAATTTATAATCCTAGCCATCTTTCTATAAATATAACATCATAAATACGACTGAAATAATAAAATAACTTAATAGTAGTAGCTTATGTGTCACTCTTGTTTCTTCTGTTATGAATGTTCCAATATGGTAAAACCTGTTTTGTTGTAGTGTCTCGAAGGAAAATCAAGATTTCATTGTTTTGTCTCTTGTAAGTCCTTTTTACAGTTTTACTTGTTAAGATAGCTTTGGTTTATTGTTAATTTCAGAACATCAAAAGTTTTCTCAAGGTACTACTTTACGTTACAAGCTAAAATGCTTTATAATAATAAATAGGGAGAAGATTGTTAAGTTAAATGGGGTACCAAAATAAAAGAAGATTAGAATGATATTATTTCGAAATCTTAGAACCTATTAGCTAATTCGAAAGAATTTTTCTCATTTTATTTGCCTTACCTGGTACTTATAAATAGAAACATTAATCAATTGTTATAAATAATATCCAAGTTTTCTTGCTCTTTCGGCGTTTGTACAAAATTTAGCGGCGTTTGATCTTATGAATGTTCCAATATTCCTAATACACCTATAGTATGCAGTTATATATATTTCTCCTTCTAATTTTTAGCATTTAACATTTCAAATTGAAACTCCAGAAATACGAAATGGATAAGACTTGGATGGATTTCTCAAGGGTCAGCGTCGAATATCGAAATGGAGTCCAAAACTTTCTAAATTTAACTTTTTTGAAAGCAAGCCAAGAGAATATGATTCTTTGCCCTTGTAAGAACTGTGTTAACATTAACTGGCACATTCATGAAGTTGTGTACGAGCGTCTAGTTGTTTTTGGATTTGTTCGGGGATATAGAAAATGGATTTTTCATGGAGAGTTTGTATCAGATAGATCTTCTTCGACGAGTTATTCGACTTATCCTGCTCATTCTCACCATCCAACTTTTACAGAATATGACATGGAAGGGATGTTACGAGATGCATTTAATATGCACAATAGTCAGTCGTATGTTACATAAAATTATTGCCAGAATGATGGTAATGATTCCATTGAGATGGGAAGAATTGGATGCGATGAAGAGCCAAATGGAGAAGCGACAAAGTTTTACAAGTTGCTGAATGAAATGAATGAACAACTTTATGACAGATCAAAGTTTTCAAAGCTTTCTTTCTACATTCGCCTTTTCCATTTAAAATGCTTGGGAGGGTGGACTAGGAACTCCTTTACGCAATTGTTGGAGATATTAGGAGAAGTGTTTCCTTTTGCAAAAATCTCTCAATCATGTAAAGATATGAAGAAAATGATAAAAGATTTGGGTCTTGGATATGACAAAATTCATAGTTGTCCGAATAATTGTATGTTGTATTGGGGTGATCGAAAAAATCAGGAGTCTTGTCATGTATGCGGAACATCTCGATGGATGAGTAGGGAGGCAGAAAATGTTACTGAGGATGAAGCTCAAGTATCATCAAGAAAGAAATCGATCAAGATTCTCCGATATTTTCCTCTCATACCTAGGCTACAAAGATTGTTTATGTCCTCCAAGACTGCTGAGTATATGAGGTGGCATCATGATGGCAGAACTGATGATGGATTATTACGGCATCTTGCGGATTCTTTAGCTTGGAAGTCATTTGACAATAAGTATCCAAGTTTTGCGAGAGATCCTCGAAATGTCAAACTCGGTCTTGTAACTGATGGGTTTAATCCATTTAAAATCATGAGTACTTCGTATAGTACTTGGCCTGTTGTACTTGTTCCATACAATTTGCCTCCTTGGATTTGCATGAAACAATCATCTTTCATCTTATCCATGATAATCTCCGGCGAGAAAGGCCCCAGAAATGATATTGATATTTACATGCAACCGCTAATTGCAGAGTTAAAACAATTATGGGAATGGGTCGAAACGTACGATGTGTTGAAGAAGGAGAACTTTAATTTACGCGCGACTTTATTATGGACAATGATTTTCCTGCGTATGCAAATTTATCTGGTTGGAGTACCAAAGGTCGTTATGCTTGTCCTTGTTGTGTTGCACAAACATGTTCGAAGTGGTTGGTTAATGGAAAGAAGTTCTCTTATATGGGACATCGTTGGTGGTTACCTGATAATCATAGATTTAGATGTCAAAAGAATATGTTTGATGGTGATGAAGAGTTTCGAAATGCTCCTAAGCAAACAACCGGTTCTGAAATATTCAGAATGTTGAAAAATATAAATTTTACTTATGGAAAGATGAATCAACCAAGTAGTACAAGATCAAAGAAAAAGGCAAAGTAGGTCAATAAAGAGGTTGAAGTTGACGAACAAACTGATGAAGAGTTTGATGAAGAGGATGATCCAAATGAGGTAGACTTGTGGAAAAAGAAGAGTATATTCTTCGAGTTGCCTTATTGGAAAAACAGATTTTGAGACATAATCTTGATGTAATGCACATTGAGAAGAATGTTTGTGAGAATATCATCGGGACCATTTTGAATGATGCCAGAAAATCTAAAGATAATCTTAAGAGTCGACTTGACTTATTGGATATGAGAATTCGATATGATCTTTATCCGCAATTACATCTGAATGGAAGATCTTTCTTGTCGGCTTTTATTTTTTCTCTTTCGAAGAAAGAAAAAGAAGTGTTTTGCACGGTGTTGAAGGATATAAAGGTCCCAAATGGGTTTGCATCAAACATTTCTCGATGTGTCAGTGTTAAAGATAGAAGACTGGTTTAAAGTCACATGATTATCATATATTAATGCAAGATTTACTGCCAGTAGCTGTTCGCGGTTGCATGTCGAGTAAGGTGACGTCTTCTATCATTGAACTTTCTAATATAATGAAAACCATTTGTGGGAAAGTTTTAATGGTTGAAGAACTTGATAAACTACAAGATCGAGTTGCCTTGACTTTATGCAACTTGGAGATGATATTTTCGCCTTCATTCTTCACAATTATGGTGCATATGCTAATTCATCTTCCTCACGAAGCAAGAGTTGGTGGACCAGTTTTCTATTGATAGATGTACCCTATAGAGGTGTTAATTGAATTACATTTCAAATTACTACTGATTATACCTTTTAATAAAATGTATTTACATAGTATGTTGTTTTGTGTATAGGTTCTTGGGCAAGTTGAAGTCTTATTGTCGTAATAAACGTTATCCGGAAGGATCAATTGCTAAAGGGTATTTGGCAGAGGAATGTATGACATTTTGTTCTAGATATTTGGAACATGTTGAAACAAGATGGAATAGACCAAAGCGAAATGATGTGTTAAGTACGGATGACTTACCTCAACATTATTTGTTTGGAAGTTATGGTCAACCATTAGGGAAAGTTGAAATTGCACACTTAGATGACACGTTTTGGGTTCAAGCACACCGATATGTTCTTTTCCATCACGATTCAATAGATCCCTTTCGCACGTAAGTCTTTCAGACCCAAGTTATATGAAATCCCTTAATATTTTATATATATATCAATTTTTAACGACATAATATACTTTATAGTGAGTTTAAAGAAGTCTTGAGATCTCGTGCACGCTCCCGAAGATTAAATCATTGAGAGATACATAAGTTATTCACAGAAACTTTTCATGAATGGTTAGGCCAGACGATAAGCAACTAAATCTTACAGAATACTTATAAATAATATATGCCTTGCTTTTTATATCAACATCAATGCAAATTAATTCACCATTCATGTGTAATAGGTTTGGAGTAGGAGAGAAGTTAGTGAAAATGTTAAATGGCTTTCTCAAGGTCCGAATAGAATAGTTAAAAGATATAATGCATTCCACATTAATGGGTTCAGGTTTCACACGAAATCTTGTGAAAGATTAAGGACACAAAATTGTGGAGTCGTAGTTATTTCGTAAACTACAAGTTATGCTACTGTCAGAGACAATAATCTGCAGGATGGAGAGGTCGATTATTATGGAAATCTTACGGACATTATTGAGTTAGATTATTATGGAAAATGAAAGGTTGTGTTGTTTCGGTGTGACTGGGTTGATGTAAATAGATGCATAAAAAGAGATAAATTCGGGTTTACAATGGTAAATTTCTCTCGATTAATTCATACAGGTCAACGTTTGATGAATGAACCATATGTATTTTATTCTCAAGTAAAACAAGTATTTTATTTTCACGATCCAATGGATGACGGTTGGTATGTTGTGCTCCGAAATACTCCCAGAGACGTGATAGACATCGGAGATGGAAGTAGAGATGAAATTGAAACAATATCAGAATGTTTACCTCTACTGCCACAAAACTTAGATGAAACTATCATAAATACAACACAATTTCAATGGGTTCGGGAGGACGTTGATGAAGATATTTATGACAACTGACATTACATAAGAATGTCGTACAACTTTATATCTTTATTTATTTATTTATAATGTTATAACCTTTAACATTATAAATCTTTCAATATATTAATTAATTAATTAGTTTTTTTTATTACACATGTTTGTTTATTACAGATATCATGCAGAGGAGAAAAATAACTGATTTGAGGGTTGTTCGAGCTTCTGAAGACCATGAAGAAAGAAATAATGAGGAATTGAATGCACTTGAGTCTTCTGAAGTTCCTGAAACTGTTGAAGAAGTATAAATCCAAGGTAGTCTTCGAAACTTTATTTACTATTTTGTTCATTTTCAAAATCCACATTTAATAATTTCTTATATAGTTGAAAATGCTGGAACGCGCAAGACTCGAGGACATACAACTTTGAAGGAATTATATCAACTTCCTCCTGGGCATCGTGTTAAAGTTTCAAGAAACGATGCCGATTAACCTATTGGCTCAGAAGCACGTCTTCTAGCAGGTTACGTAAGCATAGTTGGACGTAATATGAATCTGTTACCGATCAATTATGAGTCATGGCGCGAAATGCCTAATAATAACAAAAATTAGGTGTTGGATTTTGTTAAGGTAATAATGTCATTATCAGTATATACTCTATAGAAATTCAATACTAATATATGCTTACGGTGCACACTTATTTGTTGTATAGGAGAAAATTTTTTTACAGGTCTCTGACGATTATGTGAAGCAAGCGTTAGGGAAGAGATAGAGGGACCATAAGAGCTCCTTAAAGAAGAAATACTTCAAAAATGATCTCAGCCTTGAAGAGAAGCTGCAAACAGTCCTACCTGGAATGCTCATGTACCAATGTGAAGATGCAGTTAGATTTTGGAGTTCACAAAAAAGACAAGTATAATGTATTTTTTAGAATTAATTGTAACGAATTATAAATCATCATTAAAAGTGGTTGTTTGACATTGTAGGACCGAGAGCATGTTGGTGTTGTTAGCATGCAACATCAAAAGTTTACGCAGACGGTTGGATCAAAGAGTTTTGCTTGTATAGCTAATGAGGAGGTATTATAGATTATTGACATTGTTTTTTGTATTCCATGTACATAGTAACTCATAGTAATTATATTATGATATATTGTAGGAAAATACATCCGGTTCTAAAGTTGGACGAATCCAACTATTCGATATGACACATACGAAGAAGGGTGGAACTCCTATGACTGCCGAAGCTGCAGAAATTATGGTACGTTTATTGGATATATGTTTTAAATTGACCTGACTTTATTTATATTTGTACCATGACATTTTTTATTTTAATGAATTATTCACCTTATTATTAGGAAAAATTGAAGGAGAAAAAGGCGGAGTATCATGTTACTGGTTCGAGTCACAATCTTTTTAATGATGATGACATTGAAAATCGAGCTATTAATAATGTTTTGGGTCCTGAAAGATATGGTCGGGTGCGTTGTCAAGGATCATTTGTTACTCACACCAAATATTTTGGATCTAATTCATCACAGTACATGTCATCACAGTCTCAATCTTCCCAATTAGAAGTTAGTCGTTTAAAACAACAGTTGGTTGAGATTGATCAATAAATGACTAACATGAAAGCGGAAAATAAAGCAAGGGAAGCAGCGACAGCACAGAGAGAAGCAACATATCAGCAGAGATGTGAAGAATTTGAAAAACGATTCAATGATATGATGAATATGATACAGAAAACTCAACCTCAAAATCTACCATCATAGTCTCATTTATGTTATCATCATTATGTTATTGTTATTGAATCGTGTTTAACTGAACTTATATTATGTTAATGAAAATTTTATTTATTATATTGGATTTGATGTTGATTGTTATGAGTATAGTGTTATGTTATTGCTGTTATATTTGTTGGATAATGGAACAGGTTGAAAAAAAAGATTTGGGGTAATAGACAATAATTTTTTAAATGGTTAAATTATGTGTTATTTAACGGCATTTGTTACAAAAAAACGTCGTAATATATCATACATTTAGCGGCGTTTGTATCAAAAAAACGTCGCAAAATATTAACACATATAGTGGCGTTTTTTGTTACAAACGTCGTTATATACCAACCTTTACTGGCGTCTGTATACTAAAACGCCGCTATATACCAGACCATCAGCGACGTTTGTATCCTAAAAACGCCGCTATATACCAGATATTTATCTGCATTTTATCCTAAAAATGCCATTATATATCAAATTTTTAGCGGCGTTTGTACACTAAAAATGCCATTAAATGTGAAAACATATTGTGGCGTTTGTCTTACAAACGCCGCTAACTGTCAAAATCTATTGCGGCATTTTACAAACGCCGCTAAAGATCATAACTTGTTGCGGCGTATATTGTGGCGTTTTTGGATCACAAACGTCGCGAACTTTAGCGATGCTATTTTCAACAACGTTTTTTGCGACGTTTTTCATAATACCGCACGTGCTTTTTGCGGCACTTAAAAACGTCGCTATAGGTCAAAACAAATGCCGCAAAAAGCTAGTTCTGCTGAGTAATTTCTCACCCATTTAAATCCATCTTAAAATACGTTTATATCATAGAAAAGAAATTCTAAAAAACAAATCGTATAATGAATTAATTTTTTAAAAAGATAAAGTTATAAAAATTATTTTATAGTATTTGGGTGAGACTATGTTAATCTTTTTCTACATACTGAAAATCACATTAATATTGTGAGTAAAATAATAATGTGACAAAATTTAATAATTGAGATTTTTTTCTCTACTAATAAACATTCAGTTTATTATGTATTAGAAGATAAATAGTATCTTTTAAGTTTTAGTTTGTGATTAAATATTATTTAAGTCTCGCTTAAAGTATTTAATAACGAAGTATGACATTATTTAAGAAATTCTTAATACTCTTGATTGTCTTCAACTTCCATTCAAGCTAATATATGTAAGTATTTTTTCATATTTATTAATGGTTGTGTTCATTGTTTATTTACATATTGATTTTAATTCTATTTGTTATTAAATCCATCTTGTGGTAGGAAAATTTGGAGGTTGTTGACTTAAGGAATTGACGTAATATGTAGCCCTACTAATATTTTTTTTATAAAGTTATATGTATCTTCCTCAACTGAGAATTTAGTAAGGGGTTTAATTTTTTTGGTATAAACATTTAATATTTATTTTTAGTTGATTAATCCATATCAATATTGTATATGTCTATTCTGATAACGTTTTTTTTCCAATTTACTTGTTTATAATATTATGTTGTAGAAAAAATACGATATCTTATCACACTAAATCGGTTGATAATTAGTGGTAAAAAGTTTATAACCAAGGAGGAAAATTTAATCTAGAATGTAAATGAATCCCAAATATATCGAAAAAGACATTTTAATTTATATAATAAAAGTGTTGAATTGGTGTGAATTTTATATTTACATAAAATCTAATTAGTTTGTTAAAATATAAGAACAAGGTTAATAAATACATGTAAAATTAAGTAATCCTTAACTAGTATAAATAAACTTTTTCTATATAATGAGATAGTACAATCTAGATAGTCACAACCTTGGTAAGGGCCAAAAAGGTTAGGTATGACGTGATAATCATATTTTGGACTGAGAATGCAAAACGACATCGCAATATTTTGTTTCATTTGATAAATGCATATATATAACATCACATATAGTGAATTTATGATTTTTTTTCTATTAAAATTTAACCTTTTCGAAGATGGTGATGATTGATAGACAGGTAATGATCATATTGAGCTAGTTGTAGCATGATTTTGTCATCTAAATTATCAATATGATTAATGTTATGTCTAGGTCGTATCAATAAATTGATTGATAAATATATAAAATATGTATGTAGTGTATAGAATTAAATCAATATTATTTTGTTACTATGTGCACGTGAGATGCATATTATAAATATTTGAACGATCTTCACCATGATCCCACTTTTGATTTCATAAGATCCTCAAGAAAGATTTTTAGCAACTTTAAAATCATTTGCATATATGCTCTCCAACATGAGACAAGTACTTCAACATGAAAACAACAATATTATATATTAAAAAATAAATGATTATATAAAATTTAGTGTTAAAACTATAATGTTTTTTTAAAGGGGTTTTAAATTTTTTTCGGTCAATTCAGATGCCTAACGTTACAAACATTATCATTTTAGGTGCATGGGCTGTAATGACTGTTAAATTCTGTCGTTAAATAATATGTGTCACGTTATGATAATTTTGAGAAATTTTATTTAAAATAAAAATAAAAATAATTTTTTTTTATAAAAAACCACAATTTTTCTCAAATTACAAAAAAAAAATCAAAAACTTTTAAAACCCTATTTTCGATCCCTTTGCCACTGTCCACAATCACTGTCGTCGTCAATCAACCAAAATTCCAATGGCATATGAAGAACACCCAACGATCGAAACCCCCTAATCCAACCTATAATTGCAGCAAAAATTGACGATATAGGTGAAAATTGACATTCGCGAAATGTTACACCTACATCGTCGTTTGGTGCTCGAGCGGTTGTGAAAATAATGGGGTTTTGGTAATGGATGGTTGGTCGGTCACACGTCTTTGGGTGGTCAGCCGATTGACAGCGGCGGCGGCTGGCGGTGGAAAAGGGATTGAAATTAGGGTTTTAATAGTTTTGGGGAGGTTTTTTGTAGTTTTATAAAATTTTGGGTTTTTTCTTTTAAAAATTATAATCTTAAGTTTTTTTAATTTAAATTAAATTTTTAAATTTTTATAAAGGGACACATGTCTTTTAACGACGGAATTTAACTATCGTTATGATTCAGACACCTAAAATCATAACGTTTGTAATGTTACGCATTTGGATAGACCGAAAAAAAGTTTGGGCACCACTTTGGAAAAAGCGGTATAGTTTGGGCACTTATTTTTATATTAAGCCAAAAATAAAATAATCAATGAACAACCAATTGGTTTAGTGAGATAAGACGCTACAATCTTTAAGTAAAGTTAGAGGTTCAAACCATGACGTTTGTGAATAGAGTAAATTGAGTTGGGGGGATTGTCCATATAATGGTCCTTGATCGCTCTTCAATTGGGTACAGTTCTTTGTCCATTTCAGATGTCCTATCAACAAGATTATAATTTTAATATTACGATAAGGGAATAAAATGAAGTTTGAAGTTAAAATAAGAATTAATTATAAAATTAATATAAAATTCTCAATCGTTATATCTCAAATTAACTTTTGGTGTCTAAAGAATTTTTCGCTAAAAATAGGTGTCTAACGTTTTCAACATTACACTTTTAGGTGTTTGAACCGTAACGACCATTAACTTTGACCATTATCTACCACACATATAAAATTTTTAAAAAAATTAAAAAATATTATAATTAAAAAATCCAAAATTTATTTTTTCACCACCGATCGGCCATCGTCAGTCCGTGGTTGTCACCGTTGACAACATCACAACTGTCACACTGCTGCGACCAAAACCTAGTCATCAACCCATCATAAAACTATGTTGATCATCGTGAAAAGCACCACGAAGGATCTCAAGATTTTTAAGTTTTAATTTGTTGTTTTCCGGCGATTCCAACGGCTACAGCCGATTGTATGTTACACGAGCGCCACCATTAAGTTGCTCACCTTGTTTTGGACAAAACCTAGTCAGTGGTGACCCTTCATCTGTAACACCCCAACCCGTACCCGACCTGGATACGAGTTCGAGGTGTCACATTGACTTTTCAAAACTTGTCTCTTGCATAAAATCATGAAAATCTAACTTTCATTAAATAAAAGTTGTTATTTTACATAAAATTAAAACGATTTGTATTTCAAAACTTATCAGAGCATATTCAATACAACTCTTTTAGTACATGCCAACTAAATAAAACCAAATCCATATAATTCATAAATTCTTTTCTGATCTGAACTTCGTAAATGAGTGGCTGACATGTCTTGCTCCTCTTAGCTCCTCTTTTTGCTTCTCTGAATCCTACGTGTGAAACATTCACACGCTAAGTCTATGACTTAGTGAGGCATAGATAAACTTAAATATAACATATCATCACTCATTCCTAATATGCACACTTCATGTAATCATATATATAATCTTATTAATCAATCAACACATACATCATCATATAGCTCATATTATACATTTAACATAATGAACATATGCATACATATACATCATCACATCATCTATATTTATATACTATTTCTTATAGAGTTCATAACACTTCTCAAGTATTTACTCATAACATATCATATAAATTCAATTTATTTACTTATAATCCAATATATCAATCCATCATAAACTATGACATTAACTCATATAACATATGCAATATATTCAACCCATACTCATGTCCAACTACACAATTATATAAAAATCATATTACTTCTTATTTATATTATATCTTTATTGGCCCATGTACACTGTGGAGAACTAAAGATATGTGAGTCTAT